TCAACTCAGGGCCGGATGGAAACACTTATGGGGAGTTCCTCTGGAATGATTGTTTGTTTTCCAGAGACCAACAATCACAAATCCCTCAGATACCGAAACACGCCAAGAAACCGACCACAGCCGTTGGAAAATGTGTTCAAATATGTGACGAAAAAATGCTCTGAATTCATCCGTGCGAAGCCAAACGAACAGACGTAGTAAAATTACACTTAAATAAGTAAATATTTAGAGGGAAAACTCACCAAATGAGGATAATAATGTTAGAATTTGGCTATAATTACTCACCTTAGCATAGTATGCTAACACATGATCTATGCTAATTACTTATTGTTTTATTTTCTTTTATAACTATATTTTCTGTTGTTTTATATCCTTTTATAACTATATTTTGTGTTAAAGTCTCTGGCTGTGTCCACAGACTTTTTTCTTTTTTTTTCTCCCCTTTCTCTCTTCTTCTTTCTCTGTTGCATTAGATACAACTTTAAGTCAACACAAACACACCATGACCGTCTGACAGTGAACGCATCATACTGCTGACTGACAGTGAACGCACCGTCTGACTGACAGTGAACGCATCGTTCTGCTGACAGTGAACGCATCGTCCTGCTGAATGACTGCCTGATAGACAGTGAACGCATCGTCTGACCGACAGTGAACGCACCGTCTGACTGACAGTGAACGCATCATACTGCTGACTGACAGTGAACGCATCGTATTGCTGACTGACAGTGAACACACCGTCTGACGGACAGTGAACGCACCGTCTGACGGACAGTGAACGCACCGTCTGACTGACAGTGAACGCATCGTTCTGCTGACAGTGAACGCATCGTCCTGCTAAATGACTGCCTGATAGACAGTGAACGCATCGTCTGACCGACAGTGAACGCCTTGTCTGACTGACAGTGAACGCATCGTATTGCTGACTGACAGTGAACGCATCGTCTGACCTACAGTGAACGCGTCGTCTCGCTGACATTGAATGCATCGTCTCGCTGACTGACTGCCTGACAGTGAACGC